AATGGCAGGTACCACAAGTACTGATACACATGTTATATATAATGTTATATATATTAAAAAAAGCTAGTGAAAAAAATCTGAACAAGAGATAGGATTAATATTCTCTTTAACATAGACCATCCAAAAGAAAAATGAAAGTTGTGGAAGAAAACATGTTTGATGGTGGTTGGATGAGAATCTTTACAAATAAATTCGCATATCACTTTTGTCCTTTTTTCTCATCCACATTAATTTCCAGCACTTTTTTCATTTTATAATCCTTTTTTGTTTTTTGGGTACACTCTCATTTTCTAATCCGATGGCTTTACAAAGTATGACTTGACTGGCATCAAGTTTCATTGCCGTATTGCAATTCTCTTTTTCCCTTAAACTTTAGTTTAGGGTACTCAGAAGGACCAATCATAGTCACGCTAATATTGTATTTGATTAGTATTAATCTTTTTTTTATAAAAATAAAATATCAAAAAAAAAATAAAAAATTTTAAATTTTAATAATATGATATATAAATGAAATGGATTCTTAATGAAAAAAAATTATTTTTTATTATATAATTCAACATAAAAAAAAATTTATACTTGATTGAAATTTGTGTGTAACACCTATTTTATGACTATAATTGTTATAATAACATTTTAATACCAGCAGATCTTAATTTTCGGTTTTCTCTTTGCTAAAATATTACAACTACTCATAAGTAACATGCAAGATCAGGAGTCTAAGAATCTATAAAATGGAATAGTATTTGCCAAAAGTACAAAAAAACTGAAACCCAACATTTTAATTTGATTATTTTAAGAGAAGCTCATACCAATTTCATTGAAGTCCATATATATGCCTGAAGAAGTTGGAGGAACTAAGTTTTAGCGTTACCTCCTAGCAGGAAGAATACCGACGGGGTGAGCATAACAGTTGAACTTTGCCGATCGGACAGCATCAACAATGGCGTCTTCGGCCAAAGGGCCGATAGCAAGGAAACACGGAGGGGTCACCGTGGCCGAGAGGGATGGTGGGCCTGCTATCGTCCTGGTTGACATTGTCGTTTAGCAAGTTGAGAACCCCTCGGATGCTGATGGCATCTGCCACTTTCAGCGCTTTGTTCCCTCTGAAAACGATTTCTTTTGCTCCGTTCTCCATTTCTCAGGTTTTTCTCTCGGGTGGGTGGAAGTTTTTATATTAAGAGGTTTAATTGAACTTCAGGTTATATACAATTGTATGTATATATAGGACGAGACGAAAGCAGTGCATGGCCTGAGAGGATAAACAAATTACTCCCCTTATTTACTTTTATTGTGTTTAGTTTTTTTTTTTTATATATATAAAATAAAAAAATAAAAAAATTATAATTTATTAATAATTTGTTTTATCCTTACTACTTAGATAACACTTATTATTTAATATAGAAAAAGAGTGAAAATTAAAATTTTTTTACATTTTAAATGTTAAAATTTTTTGTAAAATTATTTAAATATTTTTAATTAACAAATCTTTTTATGTGTTAATTCATTAAAGGTCTTTTAATTTTTTCATTTTCATTCTTGATATTGCCAAGAATTTCTAATTTTTCTTAATCCCTTTAATATTTGTTATAATTATGTTTTAAAAATGAGATTAATATTAAATTAAATACATTAAATGATATTTAAAAAAAATAAACAATTAAATTTAAATACTTTAAACTAAAAACTAAATCAATAAAAGTTGAATAGAAGTAGTGTTAATGTTTGAAGTTTCGAATCATGGGCCATTAAAAAAGGGTGAGTAAATAACAAACCGGGTCCTTAAGTTTTTTTCATAAAATGTCATATTAATCTTTTTATTTTAAAATAACTATCATTTTTACTTTGAAATTTAAATTAACTATATTTATTTATTTTTTAAAAGAAATAAATATTTTTTTCGACTTTAACCTTAGTATTTATCTTTAACCTTTTTTTTTACAAAAAAGATGGGGACAAGGGATATATTTTCCTAACTTTAATTACTTATAGTATCATCAAATTTTTTTTCCTTATCTTTTCGTTTTTCTTAAAGGTTTTTTTTATCAGTATGTTTTTTTTTTAAATAATATACATAAATATATAAATTATTATTAAAATTTTAATTTGTAGAAATTTTTTTTTTAAAAAAAACAGGTATTTTGCGATGAGGGAGAATAAGATTTTGATGTTTTGTAATCTACTCAATAAAAAATTAGTATATTATTGGTTTAAATTGACAGAAGACGAGACACTCTTTTCTTCTCAAATTATTTATCAATTCAATTATTTATACATATATTTTTATAGGACCATAATTGGCACACACACATTCGTACCACACTCCCGTTACACACTTCTTTTTTCATTAACTTTCATACCCTCTGTTAGTCTCCATTTCACTCTCACCATATTCCCACCTCCTTCCTTTTTTTTTTTTTTTCTCCCAGGTTCTCGAGAGAACCCAAACCCTTTTTTTTTATCTCTCTTTCTCGATCTGGGTTCTCTATAACCCATCCGAGAACCCACCTCTTCTTCTCTCTCAATTCTTCTCCCTTCTGTAGATCTAGACCATCTCCTTGCATCTCATCATCATCACAACCTCCACCTCCATCACCACCGAAATACAAGGAGAGGGGCAAAACCATAGATCCCTTTGTTTTCCATTACCATCGTCACCATCACCACCATCATCATCGTCATCACCAAGCGCCCCACCCCCCCCCAAAAAAAAGGGTGAAGTAAATTTGGTTTCAGGGAAGGAGAAGAGTGAAGCAGCTAAAAACACCAGACGGAAAAGGATGGTAACGGAGTTAAGTGTAATTAACAGTAAAGTAATAAAAATTGAAGTGTGTAACAAAGGGTGTAGTGCGGGAGTGTGGATGCATCTTTATCCATTTTTATATAGCATATGAATGGTAATTTAAAGACATCAAATACCATGCATATTTTTTTAATATAACAAATTTCAAACCATACTTTACCATATAAGAAGGGCTCTTGGAGAGAGAAAAGTTCCCTATATTTAAAGACTCCTTCCCATTCAAAGGTTAGTTTTATGGATTAATTCGGGAACCATCCAAATTCCACAAAACATTTTCCTATCTTTAATAATAAAAAAGAAACATATTGATTAGGATTTGGTCTCTTGGGACCTGTAATGGTTCTGTGGGTCTCATGAAATTGGTTTTGAATTTCTAATACTAACATATGCATCTTTTACCCTTAGTTTGGATTGAGAAAGTTGAAAGAGAAAGAAAGGAGAAAGAAAGAAGATGAAGGAAGAGATGTCACCTTGTAGTATTTGGATTATTGATTTTAATGGTGGGGGAGAAAACTAACCGTTTCATTTCTCATTTTTTAATTCCTCCAAATCGAAGGAATTTGAAGGGATTTGTTTTTTATATTTACTTTTAAAAAAATAAATATATAAAAATATTTTATATCAATTATTTTTTTAA